TCTTTGCACGGAGCCTCCTGCTGATCCTCAGAACAATAGTGACAGTAGAAGATGGTGACGCGACTTCTAGTAAACCGTTCCCAGGTACGAGTAGACGGATAGAATGACATGAGGTAGTACCAGGAGTGCCCAGGCTTCCTGGGTCATCTTTTTCGGTTTATTTTGGATAGATTCCAAGATGAGACTTCCGATTTGACCGTCCCATTCTGCTGTTTGAAGCTGCTTTTGTGTATGTTCGTTTTGTTTTATTTGGCTTTGGGACCGAACCAGTGGTGCATGAGGAGTACTCAAAGCTCAGTGCTCAATGCTCATTCCTGACAGGTCTAGGTGACCAATGGGATGCTGGAGGTCCAAAGGTTTCATCTTGGGTTTTCTGTTTTATTAGGGGTGGCAGAGCAAGGATTCTCGCAATCATTCCTTGTGCTGCACTCTGGCATTGCCCCTGGCAGTACTTGTAGGGCCATATGGGATGTTGGGGATCTCCAGTCCTATGTGCTGTCCCAGGAACAGCTGTCCTGTTACGCCAACCTGCTGGTACGGTTTCTTTTGCATTGTTTTTGTCATCAGCTGTTCTCTTGACTCTGTGCTCTGGATTCACAAGTGACAGGCCTCAGAGCACCCTGGGGTGTGATGGCCCCGTTTGTGCCCTGGCAACTACAGTGACTTGGGCCCACAGATTTGCTTTTCTCCTGTTTTGTCCTTCCTACTTTGGAGAGACTACCTGCTCGGTCATACAGTCTTGCATTCACATAATCTTGTGTGTGGATTTCTGGGCATGCACCAATCCCAAGGAGAAAGAGCCAAGGATCTCTGAGGCCAGTAGATATTTTGGGGTCTAGAAACTTCTACCTTCTTTGAGCGGGATTTGGGCAGTCCTGAGCAGTGAGTTCCTACAGGCATACATGCCATGAGTAGTTGTTTATATGGACTGTCGAGTTCTCAATCCTAGTGGTCATGTGCTGTGGGGGTGCATCGGTGAGCGTGCAGTGGTTTTCGCTACAACCAGGATAGCCTTTTGGATCGTACAAGTCTGTGTTCAGGTGATCCTCTCTACAGTGCTCACTGGAACAGTGGTGCTCAAATTGGCCGGGGGGTTACCAGGAAAGGCAGATACATCCAAGAACCTTCTGTATAACTTCCTCCCACTTTAGCAGATCCAGTTGCCTTATGTGATTTTGGAGGCCCGTTAGTCATGCATGTGCATGGAGGCTGGTTCATTTGGAGTGGAGAGGCCCAGCGACAATATAGGCCCCTGAGACCTGGCCTCAGAGTAGTGGAAATGAGGCTAAGATGGACACTGACTCCCACCCTCTTTGTGTGCTGACTCAGGACGCAGTAACCTTCCATGACGTGGCTGTGAACTTCACCCCGGAGGAATGGTCATGCCTGGAGGCCTCTCAGCGGAAGCTGTACAGGGACGTGATGCTGGAGACCTACCAGAATCTGCAGGCTGTCGGTGAGAGCAGTGTGGAGCCAACCGTGTCTGAACAGACCCGCGTGGGCTCCCTGGGGTTGGGCGGCAGCTGTGTGTCCAATTGTAGCTCTGTGACGAGCTGGGATGTTGGACAGCCGTGCAGTAGCTCTTCCCTCACTCTTTTTTTAGGGTTCACCTGTGGATACTCAGGCCTTACTCTCAGCTTTATCCTCAGTATTTTCTCGTGTGGGGTAGCCGGATCCTATGGTGTGATTCATATCAACCCGTTTCGACTGTGTCCATGGGAAGATCCCTATCTGCCCAGTTATTGCTCAGTTCCCTTTAAATAGTTCCATCCATTGGTGCATCAATTTACTTTGTGTACTACACGAACTTTTGTGTGTTTAATTGGTTTTGCTGTTTCCTTTGTTTGGGGTGGGGCAGTCCACAGTTCTCCTGGCGCTGTGCTAAAGGATGACTCCTAAGAGTGCTCAGGGGCCATGGGGTACCGTGGGCTGAAACCTCTTGGCAACTTAAAGTGTTGGTGCCTCACCCCCAGTACATTTGCACCAGTCATCAAGTCAGATGGTTTTTGCATTTTCTTTTTTCCTTACGAATTAGGGATATTCCTGCCTGTGTATTCAGGATCCATACCAGGCCTTGCTCCAAAACCATATGGGCTGCCAGGGATCAAACCCACATGTGTGTCCAGCGCTTCTGTCCTATGTGCTGTACTATCTCTCTCCCACCACAGGGAATTTGATATCTCGTCTCTCAACTCATTAGACGCTGCCCTATTTCAGTGTTTGGATTTACTTCTAATGGTTCTTGTGATACTTCAGCAGGACTTAGGGTTTGTTCCTGGACTCTGCACTCAGGGATCACTCCTGGCTGGCATGAGGGACCCTAGGTGATATCGAGTTTCGCAACTGGATTGTCCGTGAGAAACTCCTGCTCTGCTATCTTTCTGGATACATTTTTCAGCTTAAAAAAATAAGGGTCTCTTGCCACCCTTGGCCATTTCCAGATTTATTATGCACTTATTTTTACTGAAATCCGTGATGAGTTCATGAGGGGCTCAGGAAACTCCACGTGCAGCTGGGCCTAGAGAGACAGTAGAGGGAGGAAAGTGATTTTCATGCAAGCAGCGACGTGGGTTAAATCCCCAGCATCCGATGTCATTCACGAGCACCAGCAGCAGTGATTTCTGAAAACAGTGTCAGGAATCACCCCTGAGCATTGCCAGGTGAGACCCCAATGAAGACAAAAAACCAACAACATACTGTGCTGATCAACCCCCTGTCGGCAATACACAAGGTCAGGTCTAGAGTATTTGTGGTATTTTCTTGGGTCTTACCTCTCGAATAACTAGAAATATGTGGCATTTTGGAAATGGACATTCTGTTCATGCTTTTCAGATATATGCCCACTTATATCAGGAAAACTTGGGGATTTACCTGCCACCTTTTCCATGTCACTTATCCATGCCTCTGTCTCTGTTGGGGCAGGGCACTCTGGGATGAAGCCTGCGGTGATCTCCTGGCTGGAAGGAGGAGCCCTGAGGTCAGGGAGGAGAGGCATGTGTGCGGGTGAGTGTCTGAGGACCCTTCCTGGCTCAGGCCCTGTGCAGCGTATGGGTGCGCTGAGCATGTAGGAAACACGCTGCTAAAACCGGGGCCTTGGTCTCCTGCATCCTTGGGTCTGTGCCGCACTCATGCTGTTCTTCATTGCCCTGGACTGTCAGTCACATAATGATCCTGTAATTTGCTTCCATGGCTTTCGAATAAGTAAGACCATAACAGAGCTTGTTTGGATCTGAACGATAGTACAGCAGGGAGTGCCTTGCAGTGCCTGAAGGTAACCTGTTCAATAATTTATTCAGTAACCTGGTTCCCCGAACATTACCAGGTCTACTCAAAAACAAAAACAAAACCTAGTGTAGAATTGCCAAGATCCTCACAGTTTTCCACTATCCGAATCTTTTATTTAGTGTGGGACTCTTTGGACGCAGAGAACCACAGAAATATACTCTTAACTACATGGCATCATTATGCTACATTTTTGGACAAGTGCTTGAATTGCATGTTTTGTTCAGTTTCAGAACTGAAACCGCGACTTCAGGATTTGGCATTGCAGCACTTTGATTTGGGAATGGGGTCAGCATGTACGAGTGAGTTGGTAAGATTCGCTAAATCAGAATAAATATTATTATGCCAGCAGGAGTGGACCAAGTATATGATTGTTAAGGTGGAAGGCTAGGAATGGCAGGGAGGAATTCCAAAGTCTGATGCTTAGAGTATAGGACCCTTAGCTTCACTACGTGCTGAAATAAACCATGTATAAATATACTGTGAGTTTTGATTTGCTTGACAGTGGTAGTCGTTTTGAAAGCTAATTGGTGCGCCCTAGAGAGGGTGTAGTGATAAATATACTTTCTTTGCGCATGGATGGATGGTCCTTACCCAAAACAACTTATAGACAGCATAGACCCACAGAACTGATCCTAGACACTGCATGGTGTGTCCCTCCACCCACCCAACCCCAATAAATAGAAACTACAAAACAGAAAGAACAAAAAACTTCATTGATCCTGAAAGCCATAACTTGTGGTGAGAGCTTTGCAATGGCCACGTGGTCTCTCTCAGCTGCGTGACGATGCAGCGTTGTCTTCACCCCTGCATCACAGGTTCCACACGGAACTTTAACCAAACCCGCATGTGGATCTATTTCATTTTCTCTTGAAATAGACGCTTCCGTTTTCTATAGAAGGAATTATTTCCAGTTGTATTCCTTCATTAATTTAAAGGGGAGAAAGGCACAGAATTTACTGACTCTGCATCCATCAATTTTGTGTGTCCAACTTACAGTAACATGAAATTACTCTATCGTATGACAATTCATATGTCGGTAATTGCATTTGTGTGGTGCATATGTGTGAAACCACAGCTGAACGGCTCAGTTTTTTGTCAGGAAGACTCAGTGAATAAGTCAATAATTAGAATCCTTTGTTGTTCTACAGGAAAGGTGCCACCCCAAGTGGAATGTCTCTGATTCTACACTCTGTGACAATGTCTCTAGTGAGCAATCCTTCCCTCAGCCCTATGAGGATGCCGAGACAGGCGGAATGTCTTCTGAGGGTGATCAGAATGGCGAGAGCTACCTCACTCTGAAGAAGCCCTCTCCTGGAAAAAGTTCCTTAGACTGCGTTATTCTCAGTTCACAGGCAAAAAATTCCCCAATGGGGCACCTGCTAGGTAGTGGAGCACTATTTATAGTGAGTCCCTCACAGCAACACATCCTCAACCACAGTCACCGTGAGCAGAACCAATCTACGTGTAAGGAATGTGGGGGAGCCTCCCCATGTTCTCAGCACTGTGGTGTTCTCTTAGAAAACCTCAGTGGACAGAATCCCCAGAAAAGTCAGCCTCGAGAACAAAGTGTGAGTCAAGGGTTACCCCATCGTGACCATATGAATATAAATGCAAGAGTGAAACCTTATACATGTGAAGAATGTGGAAAGACCTTCAATAGATCAGCACATCTTATTTTGCATAGGAGAATTCATACAGGAGAGAAACCATATAAATGTCAGACTTGTGGGAAGGCTTTTATTCAGACCTCACATCTTAATAGACACATGAAAACTCATAGTGGAGAGAAGCCTTATATATGTCAGGAGTGTGGCAAGGCATTTACTCAGTCGTCAAGCCTCAGTAGACATGCAATTATTCACACTGGAGAGAAACCATATAGATGTAAAGAATGTGGAATGGCCTTTGTTTGGGCCACAAGACTTAGTTTACATAGGAGCAGTCACACTGGAGAGAAACTGTATCTATGTAAGGAATGTGGGAAGACCTTTGCTGTAGCCTCAAGTCTTAGTGTACATAGGAGAATTCACACTAGAGAGAAACCGCATATATGTAAGGAATGTGGAAAGGCCTTTGCTGTAGCCTCAAGTCTTAGTGTACATAGGAGAATTCACACTGGAGAGAAACCGTGTATATGTAAGGAATGTGGAAAGGCCTTTGCTAGAGCCTCAGGACTTAGTGTACATAGGAAAATTCACACTGGAGTGAAACCATATATATGTAAGGAATGTGGAAAGGCATTTGCTAGAGCCTCAGGACTTAGTGTACATAGGAAAATTCACACTGGAGAGAAACCGTATATATGTAAGGAATGTGGGAAGGCCTTTGCTGTAGCCTCAACTCTTGGTGAACATAGGAAAATTCACACTGGGGAGAAACCAAATATATGTAAGGAATGTGGAAAGGCCTTTGCTTGGGCCTCAACATTTAGAGAACATAGGAAAATTCACACTGGAGAGAAACCGCATATATGTAAGGAATGTGGAAAGGCCTTTGTTAGAGCCTCAAAACTTACTGTACATAGGAAAATTCATACTGGAGAGAAACCGTATATATGTAAGGAATGTGGGAAATCCTTTGCTGAATCCTCAACACTTAGTATACATAGGAGAATTCACACTGGAGAGAAACCGTGTATATGTAAGGAATGTGGAAAGGCCTTTGCTAGAGCCTCAGGACTTAGTGTACATAGGAAAATTCACACTGGAGTGAAACCATATATATGTAAGGAATGTGGAAAGGCATTTGCTAGAGCCTCAGGACTTAGTGTACATAGGAAAATTCACACTGGAGAGAAACCGTATATATGTAAGGAATGTGGGAAGGCCTTTGCTGTAGCCTCAACTCTTGGTGAACATAGGAAAATTCACACTGGGGAGAAACCAAATATATGTAAGGAATGTGGAAAGGCCTTTGCTTGGGCCTCAACATTTAGAGAACATAGGAAAATTCACACTGGAGAGAAACCGCATATATGTAAGGAATGTGGAAAGGCCTTTGTTAGAGCCTCAAAACTTACTGTACATAGGAAAATTCATACTGGAGAGAAACCGTATATATGTAAGGAATGTGGGAAATCCTTTGCTGAATCCTCAACACTTAGTATACATAGCAGAATTCACACTGGAGAGAAACCGTGTATATGTAAGGAATGTGGAAAGGCCTTTGCTAGAGCCTCAGGACTTAGTGTACATAGGAAAATTCACACTGGAGTGAAACCATATATATGTAAGGAATGTGGAAAGACATTTGCTAGAGCCTCAGGACTTAGTGTACATAGGAAAATTCACACTGGAGAGAAACCGTATATATGTAAAGAATGTGGGAAGGCCTTTGCTGTAGCCTCAACTCTTGGTGAACATAGGAAAATTCACACTGGGGAGAAACCATATATATGTAAGGAATGTGGAAAGGCCTTTTCTTGGGCCTCAACATTTAGAGAACATAGGAAAATTCACACTGGAGAGAAACCGCATATATGTAAGGAATGTGGAAAGGCCTTTGTTAGAGCCTCAAAACTTACTGTACATAGGAAAATTCACACTGGATAGAAACCGTATATATATAAGGAATGTGGAAAGGCCTTTGCTGGAGCTTCAAGACTTACGACACATATGAAAATTCATCTCAGAGAGAAACCTTATCAGTGTCTGACATGTGGAAAGGCATTCACACGGTTCTCTTCCCTTACTCTGCACATGAGAATTCATACTGGAGAGAAGTCTTAAATATGTGTGGAGTGTGGAAAGTCCTTTACTTCTTCCTCATAATTGACTGTACATAGGAGAATTTACCGTGGAGAGAAACCGTATGTATGTAAGGAATGTGGGAAGGCATTTGCTACAGTCTCAAATATTAGTGTACATAGGAAAATTCACACTGGAGAGAAACTTTTTATGTAAGGAATGTGGAAAGGCCTCTCTATGTTTTCAATACTTAATGCACATAGGAGAATACGCACGGGAGAGAAACCATATACATGTAAGAAATGTGGAAAGGCCTTTTGAGAAGCCTCAGATTTAGTGTACAAAGTAGCATTCACACCAGAGAAAAAACTTATATATGAGAGAAATGTGGGAAGGCCTTCTGCCATTCAGAATCCTTACTAAGCACAGGAAAATTCACAGTGGAAGGAAATATTTTCAGTGTCCGACATGTGAGAAGATCTTCATTTGGTGCTATTCTCTTACTCAGTATGTGAGAATTCATACTGGAGACAAACTGCATAAATGTCAGTAATGTGGGAATGGCTTCATGTACCCCTCACACCATAATAAACATATAAAAATTCATACCGGATGATTTGATCCCTTAATAACAGTCTCTTAGGACAGAACAGGACAAGCCAGTCAAGCAAGTTTCCTTTGGAAACAATAGACAAGGTTGTTAAAAAAGTGCAGTTAAGAGGGAAGTAAGCCTGTCTGCTCGGAACAGGCTTCTCATGTCACTGAAAGTTACCTGCTGATTTTCACCCGGGCTTCACCTATGCCAGTATTCTAGTGCTTAGAATTGCTTGTGTGTTAACTTGTAAATAATGGGACCTGGTGATGAAAATAAGGAGGAAGGTGACTGAATGAACAGGTGTAGAAACATCCCCCTGCTCAGAGCTGTCATGGCTCACTACTCTCTTATTGTTTGCTATGCTTCTGGCTTGGCCCAGAGGGGCTGTTTGGTGGGAATTATGGCAGAAATCAACCAAGATGCAGCACTGAATTCTTTGAAAATGGAAAAACAGGTAAACCTTCATTCTTCAGTCTTTCGTGTGTTAGAATTTGGAATGCTTCAGCACCCTGAAAATCCCGGTTTGGGAACTTGTTCTGGATATCCAGGCTTTAGGGGATGTGGAGCTTTTGAGGGGTGCATTGGGGGCTCTTCTGTGGCTCAAGTGTCATGGGTGAGGGTGCGTTATCCTGAGGGCCTCTGCAGCCACGATCGCAACCATGTCCAAGATGGTTGGAGGGTGGGCACATGGACTTCAGGCCTTGGTGTGAGGAGCCTGCAGAGAGTGGGGGTCTTGGCCATCTCATTCCTCCCTACTCGGGACTGCGCAGTACCATGTTTGGAGCCTTTGGACTGGACATAACACTTATCGAACCTCCAGATATCTTCACGGGCAGCCCCCAAAGGAAAGGGACACTTTTGTGATCGGTCATTTTCATTGGCTTTCGTGCTGGGTTTGGGACTTTGGGGCGTGTTTGGACAAGGAGAGAGATTTGCCTCTGAAAATTTACTCTTTGGATTTTTTTTTTACTTCTTGGGTCACATCCAGCATTTCACATAGGTTTCTTCTCGCTTATGTACTCAGGAATTACTCCTGGTAAAGCTCAGGGGACCATATTGTTGCTGAGATTAGAAACCGGGTTGGTCATGTGCAAGTCAAACGTTCTACCCACTCTGCTATCACTTCAGCCCCACTTTGGATTAATTTTAATAGCTTTTTTTTAATTCAGGGGAGTTGGAAGGGATTCTTTGATGCTCAAGGTTTACTTCTGGTTCTGCAGCTCAGGAATTATTCTGCAGTGCTGCTGGGTTCCTATGGGATGGAGAGGTTTGACCTGTATCAGCAAGGCAAGCATCCTATCTGCTTTACAGTGAGTCCAACCCCACTATTTCTGTTTTTTCCATATATAGAATTTCTACTTCCCGGGTGTATGATACCACCAGCAGGTCAATCTGTGCCTGTAAGGCGAGTGCATCAGTAGAATGATGGCACCGTCAGACTTCCAGATACTCCAAAATAGATGCTGTGCCTTTGGCCAGACAACAAAAACTTTGGGCAAAGTCTTGCAATAAAGTAAACGGCCAAAAGTTAGGTATGTGCAAGACACACCAACAAACCATTTCTGGCTCAGCTATATAATTGGAGGCAAGGTCTCTCTGGTTCCTGATCAAACTGCTTAAAGGCTATGATCCCAGAGACTCAGAGACAAATCTCAGAACCCAGCGGCTTTTTGCAGAGATGCGCCCTGTTCCCACAATGATTTACCAGTGACAGACCACCACAAGGGGGAAAGGGTATGTCTTTCCGCCTGATCCTACTTGGTGGCTTGGTGGACATCATCCTCCAGAGGCCATTGGACAGACAGGTTTGGGCCTGCAGTGACAAGACATGCGGGGCCTCATGGGATTGGGGTGGACTCTGCCCTTTCCTCCCCACCTCAATGAGACCCTGAGTCGCTGTCCATGTACAGACTCTCTGGCTCTTGATCACTCGGCCATGATCCCAGAGTCTCAGTAACAAATCTCTGAATCCAGCGGCTTTCAGCAGAAATGTGTCTGGTCCCTACAGTAGGTTACCAAAGCTGGGTATTTCAGGTGGCAATAGGTTTCATGCCTGGCGACTCACTGGCCACCATCTCTAATGGCTTCTGGATGGTTAGGTTTGGAACTGCTGTGAGGAGACATGCAGGGCCTAACTGGATGGTGGTGGGGCCGGTCCTTTTCTCCCCACCCCAATGAAACCCCGAGTTGTCTGGCACCTATGATTGACCTATGTGGCTCGTGATCAAGGTGCGTAATGGCCATGATCCCAGAGATTCAGAGACAAATCTCGAAACCCAGCGCCTTTTAGCAGAAATGCATCTGGACCCTGCAGAAGGTTACTGTCCCTGGTCCACCGCAGGGGAAATTGGAGCTGCCCCCCCAACTACTCCCACGTGGTGGCTCGGTGGCCTCCATCCCCCAAAGGCCTTTGGAAAGTCAGGTTTGGGCCCTCACTCAGGAATATACGTGGGGCCTCTCAGGATGGGGTGGAGCCGGCCAATTCCTCCCCTCCCCAACAAGAGCCTATGTCATTCCCACGAACCGCCTCTCTGGCTCTTGGTAAAGTTGTTTAATGGCCATTATCCCAGAGACTCAGGAACAAATCTCGGAACCCAGCAGGTTTTGGCAGAAATCCCTCCAGATTTAGTTGTTAAAATTTCAGAATTCCAAAATCATATGTTATTTTTAACCAGCCATCAAAAAAGAATTGTCGATGTTGCGTTTTCGCCAGATCTGAGTGCTGGGGTAAAATCCCAAATAATAATGGTGGTCTCGAGTCAACCTATTGAATGTAATCAAAGTAGAGAGAAGAATGTGGAAATTATCTGCCCCATAGTTATTGGGAGACTGTGGAATGGCGGCATACTTGCGTTTTTAGTGGTGGGAAATGGGCACGGTGAAATGACGGGTGTTTCATTGTATGACCGAGAATTAAACCTGAAAGCTTTGTAATTGCTCTCCCATTTTTTCCCGTTTTCTTCGATTTATTTAGAAATGGTCAGAGCAATAGTAGGGCAAGTAGGATGCTTGCCTTGCGTGTGGCCAACCCAGGAGTCCTCCAATCCACAGCATCTTTGAGTTGCTCATTGGACATTGAGTATCCCCTTCTCATCACTAGGCCATGTGATGTGGAGGTGTGGCATGGGGTAGGGGTGTCTTCTCCCCGGAGCTTTTCATTACAGATAGATCCTGTGCTTTGCTTTCTTGACTTTGTTGTTATTCTTCCTTATCTATCAGATATGTCGAGTAGTCCATGTGTTTCAAGGCCCTTGTGTCCCCGGCTGTATAACTAGCCTGGCTGTACACCTAAAAGGTCAGGTGCTCTTTCTGGACTCTGCTCAGTCAATCTTGCACCATGCATATCTTTGCCTTTGGATCATTGCCATGGTTTTTTGAATATGGGAAGAAATTTAGTTTTCTTTTGTTTGGGGGCCTGGGGATACTCATCAGTTATTCCTGGTGGTTCTTGTAAGTTGCTTTTGACAGTGTTCAAGTATCAACCCCTGTCAGCCTCATGCAAGGCAAATGCCTACCTGCTGTTCGCTTGTACGCACCAAAAATTGTTTTATTGTGTGTATGTTAAATTGTGACTGTGAGCCCATAGTGAAGTTCATTAGGACGAGAACAGCAGTGCAACACAGTGGGTGCTCGCCTTATAGATGCTGCCTACTTTCAATGTCCAGCATACCCTATGGTATCCCAAGCATCACTGGGTCTGAATAAAAACAAAATCCATAAGGCTTTTTGGGGGATTGCCAAGGTCATGCTATCAACACTTCCCACAGATTTTCCCTTTCTGTAGGCTTGCTTGGACTGTGAGAACTATGGAGATGTCCTCCTCCTGCTTGGTCATTCTACTGCATTCCATTCAACATTGGACTAATTCTCATTGTGCATATTGTTTGATTTCAGAACTCAAATCACAGGTTCAGGATGTGGCATTACAGCAATTTTTTTAGGAAACAGGGGTATTGTGCAAGTGTGCTGTAAGATTCTCTTGTTGAAACTAACTATTATGCCATTGGAGTGCTCAATGGACCGAGCATGCAACTTGAAAGGTGGGGTCCGGCTCCATCCCCACAACCACGTCTATGGTCTCAGCATCACAGGAAAAATATCGGAGCCTAATGCTGGGACTAGAGGGGCTTTAACCTCAGTGGGTACTGCAATCTAGAAATTTATTTTATTGTATTGTTTTTTAAAGTTTTCATTAAAGTGCCAGTATTTTTAAAGTTTTTTTAGTAGTTGTATTTTGGCGTACAATAATTGAACACCAATCCCTGCATCA